AACTTCTCAACGTCAGAGCGAAAAAAAGACGATTTTGAAGCACTTTTTAAAAGGATTTTTAGAAGGAAAATCACTAGCGCCAAAATGGAGAAAATCTGCTAACAAATCCATGTCGCAGCCTTCATGCAGCCACTCCAAGACGATTTACGAGATCCAGCTGCAAAAGACAATAGTATTACGAATGCAGCCACAGCACGAAGCAACCTTGACGCAGCCATTAAATGCGATCTGCAGAGACTGAGTTGCAAAACGCAATAGAACTACGCACAACGGCGTCGGAAATTGTAGCTCCAAAACCGGATCTCGACGCCAGAGCGAAAAAAAGACGATTTTGAAGCACTTTTTAAAAGGATTTTTAGAAGGAAAATCACTGGCGCCAAAATGAAGAAAATCTGCTGACAAATCACTGTGGCAGCCTTCATGCAGCCACTCCAATACGATTTACGAGATCCAGCTGCAAAAGTCAATAGTATTACCAATGCAGCCACAGCACGAAGCAACCTTGACGCAGCCATTACAATGCGATCTGCAGAGACTGAGTTGCAAAACACAATAGAACTACGCACAACGGCGTCGGAAATTGTAGCTCCAAAACCGGATCTCGACGCCAGAGCGAAAAAAAAACGATTTTGAAGCACTTTTTAAAAGGATTTTTAGAAGGAAAATCACTAGCACCAAAATGGAGAAAATCTGCTGACAAATCACTTCCGCCGCAGAGGTAGATCATCGACGTTCGGGGACGGACTTTGTATGGAAAAACATAGGCTTTCGTGCATCTGCTATCTCTCAAAGACGCATTTCGTGCGAGACTTCCTCCAAAACTCCATCGGCAACTCATCCACCAGCACCACTTGCAATCCCATTTACAGTGAGGGAACGATCCTACCAGTTGCAAATCACAATGGAATTTCTGTCGACCCCACCATGACACGAAAAACAGTTGAAACCCCATTTACAATGCGGAACCGATCCGTGAATTGATATCTCTCAAAGACGCATTTCGTGCGAGACTTCCTTCAAAACTCCATCGGCAACTCATCCACCAGCACCACTTGCAATCCCATTTACATTCAGGGAACAATTTCTTTGCTAACTCTTTCTGTGACTAACTCTTTCCCTCACTAACTCTTTCTTTGACTAACTCTTTCCCTCACTAACTCTTTCTTTGACTAACTCTTTCCCTGACTAACTGTTTCCCTCACTAACTCTTTCTTTGACTAACTCTTCTTTGACTAACTCTTTCTTTGACTAACTCTTTCCCTCACTAACTCTTTCTTTGACTAACTCTTTCCCTGACTAACTGTTCTGCTAACTCTTCTTGACTAAAACTTCTTTCCCTGACTAAACTGTTCTTTGTAAATCTTCTTTGACTAACTCTTTCCCTCACTATCGCTTTTCTTTGGACACTCTTTCCCGGACTAAACTGTTTCTTGCTTAACTCTTTCTTTGACTAACTCTTACCTGACTAACTGTTTCTTTGCTAACTATTTCTTTGACTAACTTCTTTCCCTCACTATCTTTTCTTTGACTAACTCTTCCCTCACAAGTTTCTTTGCTAACTCTTCTTGACTAACTCTTCCTCCGAACTCTTTCTTTGGACTAAACTCTTCCCTGACAAAAACTGTTTTTTGACTAACTCTTTCTTTGACTGACTCTTTCCCTCACTAACTGTTTCTTTGACTAACTCTTTCCCTGACGAACTCTTTCTTTGCTAACTCTTTCTGTGACTAACTGTTTCTTTGCTAACTCTTTCTTTGAATAACTCTTTCCCTCACTAACTCTTTCTTTGACTAACTCTTTCCCTCACTAACTCTTTCTTTGACTAACTTTTTCTTTGACTAACTCTTTCTTTGACTAACTCTTTCCCTCACTAACTCTTTCTTTGACTAACTTTTTCTTTGACTAACTCTTTCTTTGACTAACTCTTTCCCTGACTAACTGTTTCTTTGACTAACGCTTTCTTTGACTAACTCTTTCTCTGACTAACTGTTTCTTTGACTAACTCTTTCTTTGACTAACTCTTTCCCTGACTAACTGTTTCTTTGACTAACTCTTTCTTTGACTAACTCTTTCCCTGACGAACTCTTTCTTTGCTAACTCTTTCTGTCACTAACTCTTTCCCTCACTAACTCTTTCTTCCCTGACTAACTGTTTCTTTGCTAACTCTTTCTTTGACTGACTCTTTCCCTCACTAACTCTTTCTTTGACTAACTCTTTCCCTGACTAACTGTTTCTTTGCTAACTCTTTCTTTGACTAACTCTTTCCCTCACTAACTGTTTCTTTGACTAACTCTTTCCCTGACATTCTAAAAGTCCGTAACACGGAAGTTTCTCCCCCTAAACTTCCTTTGATCAATGTACATACGTGTTTACAGTATCTGTTTAACTATCTCTTCGTCTATCTGTCTGCCTATCTATATATCTGACTATCGAATTCATCTACCGACGCATCTTCGTCCATGGATCTATCTATCAATCTATCTATCTATCTATCGATCGATCTGTCTGTCTGTCTGTCTGTCTGTCTGTCTATCTATCTATCTATCTATCTGTCTATCTCTCTGTCTGTCTATCTGTCTGTCTGCCTGTCTATCTGTCTGTCTATCTGTCTATCTGTCTATCTGTCTATCTGTCTGTCTGTCTGTCTGTCTATCTGTCGATCTGTCTATCTGTCTATCTGTCTATCTGATCTAATCTAATCTAAGCTAGGCTAATCTAATCAAATCTATTGTATCTATCTGTGCAATTGTCCACCTCAATCTTTCGGCTGAAGTGAAAGTTGACAGCTACAAAAAGGAAGCTGTTGTCAAGCCTTCCTCGGAACACGGATGTTCAAAACTTGAAAACAAAGCTTTCGTGCGAGACTTCAAAACACAGCTTGCACACGAAGCTGTAAGATTTTCAGACTTATCAGTCCAGTCGCTAAAGCTGTAAAAGTGGTCCAAGCCAAAGAGATGCAGCCTACCAATGTAGAAAAGCGCATTGCATTCGGAGCTGGTTTCAGCGTGCCAAATGTCGCCAAATGACGCGCATTCCAGGAAATTTCACTGGTTGGATGTGCTACTTTTGGTGGTTATTCCAATGGGTTTATGCACCAAACTGTGACCAATTGTGGAACCCCAGGTTTACTCTGGATTTTCCGGTTCTTCAGGACATGTTCCAAAAAGAAGATATTGGCCCACAAAGCTCTCATATCATTGCATTCCTGCTTCCAAGTCCACGCATTGTGCATCAGTGTGCTGCATTGATGCCACCAAGCACTGAGAGCCAACGCGACATTGTAAAAATCTCGAAACTGTGCAAAAATAAACATAGCATCACTGGCAACCTCCAAGTTCAATCAAACCAACAACTTAGAGTTAAAGCGTCAGTGCGCGATAAAAATTTTCAAATAACGCAACAACGCCCTTGGATTCTGAAGTTCACCTTTGTCTGTGATGAAAGTGACACTTTGTGGTTGGTTCAGGTGATATATAGAAACAATCGGATACACCTTCTCCGGGCTATGTACAATCAATGCAACAATTGTTTCTTGTTCTTGGACTAACACTCAGCATATCAATTGTACTGAAGAACCTGCAGTTTTAAGGATGTGTCAAGCAACATTGAGCAATGCTGGTTGTTTTTTTCCACTAAGAATTTTTCTGAAAGGATCCAGCAGATAGAATATGACAAAAAAAAATGGTAAACTGCAAAGAAAGTGGATGCACTGCGGTCTCTCTATTTTCCTGTGCAATTTGGGCCTGCTGTGAACAAATCATAACAAATCCTGGTGTTTGAAGATGCTGCTCTGCTGGATGAAATGTTTCACGAAACTCCAGGCAATTGATGTGTTCAGAAAAAATAAACTAGTTAACTAGTTACTTATGTACTTGCTTGTAGATGACATGGCAAAACAATGACTCCTGACATACGAACAGAAAACATCAGAGGCATGTTCTTCAAGCCTTGGAAACCAAATGAAATCTCATGGCACTACGGCAACATTTTTTTGATTCGCCAACAAAACTCCTCAGTGCAATCATTTTTGGGACATCTGGATGAAATGCAAGTGTGAAGTCAAAGTACGCAGTTTCTTTGTTTTCCGGAACGCCAAATTTTCCAACTCACCAACTGAGCCGTGACATCACCGTGACACTCATAGACCAATGTCAGTCTTCAATAAATCTATAGATGCGTTGATATATAACTATAAAAATATACAAATACTACGTTTTTTCATAGATCTGCTTATCTATTTAGCTTGTGCCACGGGTTTGCACGCCTCAAAAGCAAGTCAGCCCAGCATCTCGATGGCAAATGGAACAAAAACCATCAACCTTTGGAGAAACTATTGCTCCAAGGCGGCTGGCAAATAAGTGTCTAAAGAGTGTGGAACTTAGACTGCAAGCGTTGCAACCAACGAATTTGGAGTGCTCTGTGGCTCATAGCTGAAATGCACAATGCACTGTGGCCAGTTGTCCATTTAACTTGGTACAAATTCTTCACTGGATCCTAAGTTACTTGTCAAAGCCAGACAACATCTGTTCACCTGTTCTCACTCTGAGCCATGCGCCTAGGCAGTTTTGATAAATTTAGAGAAATTTTGACCATCTCTGCAGACCAAAGACAGTGGAGTGGGCTTTACCGCTGCCGCGGCATCAGAAGCTCTCGGAACCTGAAGACAGGTACGGGAAAGAACTCCGTGTGAACCCAACCCCCAGTAAAGTGCCTAGTGGTCTGCCCCTTCTGTTGTTGGTTCGACTGGCAGCGTCGGTCATTTTTGGCTCAAGGTGAGCTGTGACCCTAGTTTCACTGCGGCCTTGCAAAGCAAGGCTGTGGCGGTGACTGAGCTGTGGCCGACCGCGCGACAAAGGTGATTCTGAGCTGGTGTGAGGGCTAGCGGGACCCACTTTTGGTTCCCAGTTGGGGGCTGTTCTGGGAAGCTACTGAGCTGAAAGTACCGTAGCGGTCGAGGCTATACCAGCTCACCGCCAGCATGGCTCGGGAAGTAATTACGAATGTTTGACCGAACATTGCTGGAAGCAATCGAAGAAGGTATAGTCCCAAGGCCAGGGCTATTGACCTATCAAGATTGGAACTCATGGCGCGCCAGGGAAGGGCAGCGTCCGAGCAAGAGGAGACACGGAGACGACGTCAGAACCACGACGACTGGAGAAGAGGCGCAGTTGTGGAGAACTGTGATGGAGGCTCTGTACGGCCCTGAATGGAAGGACCAGTTGGCAATGGCTGGGGGTGCCTTGCAAGAGTCAGAAGAAGAAGAAGAGGAGGAGGAAGAAGAAGAAAGACCTCCTCCCACCACTCTGGCCAGTACACTGGAAGGCGGGGTTCAAGCGGCCCAAGCCGAACCACCGGCCATAGGTCCAGGCGGGTCGGCTGCATCTTATAGGGTTGGTGGTGAGTCGGTGTTCCGTGATATGTCCCTTGTTCGGTTGCAGGAGGTTTTTCTGAAAGATTACGCTCCTGGGTCCGAAACCGCAGTCCGGTTTGCAAAAAGGTTGCGACGGGTGTCGGAGGCCTTAGGGTTGTTTGGGGAAGAAGTGGACAAAGCCTCAATGGAGCGGCGGGTCATCCGCACCCTCTACTGGGAAAAGATCTACGAGGCAGAAGAGGAACGCCAATTAGCCCTGCTGAAGGAGTTCTTCCAAGAGCTTGTTTTGGATGAACCGCCACAGTGTGGCCGCCACAGGAAAGAGGAGGCCAGCTGAGTAAGTCTGCGCAAAAGCTTTTCTCCTCAACCGAAGGCACTCCGGAGAAGGGAGTAGATGCTTCTAAAAGGGCTGGTCCGGCCACTCCCCGGCGGAAAGGCCTGCGGGAGGAAACTCCTGCGGACGATTGTCGCGGAGAGGACAGGTCAAGGGAGCCGAGAAGGGAAACTCGGCCTGGCCAAAATACTTCAGAAATAGATCAGCTCAAGAAACGCCTCCTGGAGCTCGAGGGCGACGCGCGCTCAGAAGGAAGCCGTGCCTTCGATGCGTCTGCTTTCGCTGAAGCACTGGAAAAACAGACGAAGGTCATGACAGAAGCTGTGACCCGTAAGAGCAAGAGATCCACGATCCAGGTAACGCCTAAGATTTCTTGGCCTATGCTGGACGATGAGTGCAGCGACTATCGCTCAGTCCAAGAATTCTATGACACCTTTGAGGCCACCATCGGGTTGGCCAACGATGGAGATGGAATGACGGATATCGAAAAGCTGACTACATTGAAGGCCTGCTTGAAGCAGCATCGACTGAAGACGTATGAGCTGGTACACCGCCGCCATCTGGCCACGGGATTGGTGCAAAAAGATCCGGGCCAAGTCTATGATCAAATCAAAAGTAAGCATCTCCTGCTTTCGGAAACCGCTGAGGAGAAGCAGATCAGAGTCCTGGAAGAAGGAGACGCTCTTGAAAAGGGAAAGCTGTCGGCATTCCAATGGGAAGTGCGCTGGGAGTCTCACCTGGCCGACCGTGATGGGATCGGGCTAGGCCTCAACAAGACGGAAGGTTTGATCCAGTATTTGCGAAAAATTGGGCCCAACCTCTCCAAGGATGTCCGGGGAGACAAAAGGTTCCGGCCGGATGGGAAAGGAGGAAATGCCTTCCGGCGCGCAGAGACTTGGGAAGAGGCCCACGAAGTGGTGAAGGAGATTGAAGAGACCAATGCAGGCCAAAGAGCGTTGAACAACAGCACTTTCACACATGGACCGGAAAACAAGGATCGGCTGACAAGGCAGTGGTAGATGAAGCCAGAAAGAAAGCCTTGCGGGACAAGAAGTCCGCGGGAAACAGCCAGGAGAGAACTTCCAAGCACAGCAGCTACCGAGATGATCATAAGAAGGAAGGAAAAGGAGCTGGAAAGAAAGGAGGAAAGGACAAGGGTAAGAAAGAGACCCATGGGGAAACGGACAAGAAACCGTGCAGGTTCTACAACACCGCTGGGGGTTGCACCCGCGGTTCGAAGTGCCCTTTTTCGCACGAAGGACCGGGCGGCTCACAGCGTGGCGCGGGTCCAGGACTCCAACTCCCCAATGTCTCCGATTTATCAGGCGTTGGAGGGAAAGGCACTGCCTCCATGGCAAAGGAGAATCCATTCATGAGCTGCTTTGACACGGCTGTGTTGGAGGATGGCCAGCCCAAAGTCCAAGACCCAGTCTGGACAACGAAGGCGTTGAAGCAGCCAGGATGGAAAGAGAAGAAAGGAAGCAGGAACAACCGCGCTGGGAACAACCACCGCGGGAAGCCGTTGCATGACTTGGAGTCTTGGAGCGAGCTGACTAGCCTTGACCAGCTGCCCAAGAAATGGTGGAAACCCACAGAGAACAGTAAGGGAGGATACCAGTATCAGACAGAAGTCAAGATCCTGGGCAGGTATGTGGGTTGCCTCTTGGACGGGTGTGCCGGCTGCAATTCGGTGACAGAAGAACTGGTCGTCGGCGCAATCAAAGCTGCTCTCAAGGATAGTATCTCTACAGACTCCTCTAAATTCCCGGTAGCGCAGCTGGAATGTTGGCCAAAAGAAGAAGTCGTGATGGGTCTGGCAAATGGCGCCCCTATCAACCTGAAGGGTGCGGCTGTGATCAGGGTGACTTTTCCTGAGGTGACGGGTAAGAAAGACCGGGAAATCCTTGTCAGGGCAAAGATCATCGCCAAGGGCTGCTCCACGTGGCAGGGTCTGATCTTGGGAGGCCGTGCGCTGCATGCCGTGGAACGTGGTGGTCTCGGGTTTCGTCCCGGAGCCAACGCCCACATTTTTGATGCCCTGGGTGCTCGGTTGCCGCGTAAGGAAGAAACAGAAGAATACGCGGAGCACGCGTACCCGCACGTCGCTGTCCAGAAATCTCTGTTTGAGCGTGCGTGGGATAAAGAATCAGAAGTAAGGGGAAATTTTGATGTGCTCTGGCAAGGGGCATTGGGTTGGTGAAGAAGGAGATTGGGTGCCGGTTCGGCGCTCCGTGTCTCATGACGCCGTTTCGGCTGATCCAAGGGGGTCGGGCGAAACCCAAGAGTCGCTGTTAAGTCCAGTGGGCGCAGTTCTCCCCTTGGTTGATGCGCCAGTTGAAGTGGTGCCTGGTTTGTGGGACCAAAGGTCCGCAGCAGAAGGCTACGCGCACGTGGTTCCAAAGGAATCGGAAGCCTATTTGGAAGAAGGATCCCCAATAGCGGCCGTCGTAGATGCTGTTGCGGAGCAAGCCTTTTGCAGAGCTTGCGGGCATTTTGATGCCGCAGCATGGGTCAAGAAGGGATCAGAAGAGTGTAAGTGCCCAAAGCCAGGCTGCGGCTGGTCGGTGTGAACGCTGCCACAGTGCCACGGTGAAGAGTTGGCAAGGAGCGTGCCGGAAATGTTCAAAGAACACCAGTGGCGGCGCAGGACGGGGCGGAGTCGCCCTCCTTGTGGCTGGGATGCTGTGCTACATGGTCCTAGGCATGGTGGAGCGAAGTGTGGTGGGAGAGAGAATCTATCACATTGTCGAGACAGCGGGGGCGTTGGACCTTCTTGCTGAGGAAGGACCAACGGATGAGTACTATAACCGGCTCCGCCAGTACATGGGAAAGAAGTTCCCTGGAGCATCAGGCCACTTGCTAGATCATTTGGAAAGCATTGGAATCCTTCCTTGATCGTAGCATAGCGGCAGGGATGACGTTCGGGATAGACAAGGCGTGTGTTGCCGTGGTCGAAGGGAACTTGCTCGGGCACAACATTGGCCGAAACGGAGCAAAATGTAGTGCTGAGAAGACCCGCGCTATCCTGAAGTTTCCTGCTTTAAAGGAAAGGCTTCATATTCAACAGTTCTTGGGTTGCACACATTGTGCCAAGCTCCTAGGGGAGTATGTCAAAGGGGCAAAGCCTTTCCCTGATGATGGACTTCGGCCAGGCACAGAAACAACAACTGATCCAGCCGGCCTGGGCAAACTTCTGACTGTGCTTCTCAGACATGGCCGCGGGGTCGTGGAAGAGGAGCTGAAGAAGTATGTCAGTGTGGGGGGGTGGGTTCAGATCGAAAAAGTCAAGGAGTGGCTCGGCGTGGAGCCGACAGGAGGGGAATTGCTGCGCATGCTCGAAGCAGCGTGCGTGCACCCTGACAGCAAGGGAAGGATCGAGATGGGAGAAGTGCAGTCCGATCCTGAGAAAAGGTATATATGGGCTCGACGCAGCTGGTCGATCCCCTGGATCACGGAAGGGCTCGATGAAGCAGATGTGCGGAACAAGCCCGCGGAGCTGTTCCACGCCACTCGCCGTACGAACTGGGAGAGCATCAAGCGATACGGCTTGATGAACACGTCAAGCAAGGGAGCGAAGTGGTGATCAAGGTTCACACCTCAGCTCTGTACCGACGTGCGGCTGAGGAGAACGAAAAAGTTTATGGGAATGAAAAAGCAATTTACGTGCTTTTCAACATTCCTGTCGACTGTTTTGTAGAGGTCACTGACTTGCGGACCGGGGAGGACCTTCTCAAGGGTCAAAGGGTAGGATCCTCCCAGCTCGCAGCCACTAGCATATAGCTACGTCCTCCCAGCCTGCGGCCTCCGGCGTGGCTGCATCTGTGCAGTCTGCGGCCGTTGGCGCGGCTTCTCCCTCCCAGCCTGCGGCTACAAGCGCGGCTTCCAAAGCTCGGCTTGCTGCTGAGGAGGCAGCGTTGCCAGAAGAGTCTCGTCCTAGGCCAAAGGTTAAGGCGAGCCCCGTTGCAGAAGCAGCTCCTGGGGTGAAGGACTCGGCAGCGACGTCCTCGGTTCCACCTACTCCTGAACAAAACGTGAAGGACCGAGAAGCTCCCGCAGCCGAAAAAGCCAAGGAAGTGAAGATTGAAGTCGAGGAAAGTCAGGCGGTGAAGCGAAGTGAGCAACAGGAGTCCAAAACGGACTGAGTTGGAAAACTTGAGCCTAAAAAGAAAAAGGCCAAGGTGAAGGCAGAGGTCAGCGCCGAAGAGGCGCTGGGAGAAAGGGAAGCGAGATGGGCTAAAGCAAGGGAAGTGCCAGCGGATGACGAATCAGAAAGTTACTCCTACGAGGAGGATGAGGAGGAGTGTTCTGCCGATTGGGAAGGCGACGACGCCGATCGTCGTTCGAGGACTCCTGAAGGGCGCCGACCTGGAGTGATCCTCAAGTCCAAGGGCTACCTTGAATTGGAGGCTCGACTTGCTGATCCCGCGGGTGTAGGTAACACCACGGACGCTCAACCAGGTCCGACGGGTGCGCCCGGCACCGCGGACAATCAAGACGCTCCTGCGCCTGGGAGTGCATCTGGCACTGCGGACGCATCTGGCACAGCGGACACTCAAGCAGATCCGGCGAGTTTGGCAGGACGCTCGGATACTGCAAGTAGGCGCAAAGCCATCGAGGAAGATATAAAGGAGCACGGAGCCGTCGTTTGCCCTCGTTGCGACGCCCGGAATGCTACTTGGAGACTGAAATGTTATCGGTGCGGCCTATAGAGCGCCCGAATCCGAAAGACATAGTCCGAGAGCATGGAGATCGCCGCAGCACCCGTGGAAAGAAGCGGGGAGGCAAAAAGAAACGTGGGGGTGGCCAGACAGAGAGCCAAGCAGAAAGCGAGCCTTGGACTCAGGCTCAAGGCTGGTGGCAGTCACAGGACTGGTCAGGGTCCCATGGTTCCCGAAGTTCTGATTGACAAGGGAGCTCTTGGAGCTCTCGATCCAACTGGACATGGGGCAAGTACGATCCGAAGGGGAGTGATCAGAATCACCCCTTTGCGCATCCTGAAGTGATGATGATGCGGGCTGCGGCCGCCACCATAGCTCTTGCCGGGCTGAGAGGAGTCCTACGCCTCACGGAGCAAGCCGTGGAATCTGTCCTGGCTTTGATCCAAGTCATAGAAGTCAATACTGCAGAGGTAGTAGAACAGGCACAGATGACCCTCATAGACCTGCTGCAAAGGAGCGTGGTAATCGGGTTCATCCTCGTTTGGGGGTGGATCGGATTCAGGTGGTGGAGGTGGAAGCAGTCCAGGGGTCATATGACTTTGGACGAGCTCGAGTTCAAGACCTCGAGCACCTCCCCTGAGAAAACAGGGGCAAACAGCAAGGGCGGCTGCTCACCCCTGAAACGGCCGAGCACGGCAGTCCTCCGGGCAAAAGCCCTGAGGGGTGTGGCCTATATATGAAGGGGGACAGCGGGCGATAACGCCGCTCCCGAAGAAAAGGCCGGGAACCAGAGTGCGGACCAGTTGGTCGCCTCAAAGGGTTCAGAAAGGAAAGGCATCCAATAAGGTGCCTCGCAATGTTGCGGAAACCCCCTTTCTGAATGGTGGAGTAAAGGGCTTAGGAATGTTCGCAACAGCACGTGAATATCAGGAAGCGGCCATTTCGGCGCTCCGCAGCTGCTCTGAAACAAGACCCGTAGCAGTGAATCTGATCGCTTATGCGATCGACAGAGCTGATCTGCTGGGTGCTCTTCTTGCAGTCGCAGAAGTGCATCAGGTACCTGTCAAAGTCGTAGCTGACCAAGCGCAGACCAACAGGATGCCAGAGCAGAAGAGCGTCCTAGAACAGGCAGCTGAAGGGGTCTTGATGTTCAGCTGCGAACAGGCAACGAGCTCCGAAGCCACTACCTTGAGGCTGGAAGGCAAGGAAATGGGTTCAAAGGAATCCAGCACGCGAAGGTTCTGGCCATAGAATGGCAAGACGGCTGGGAAGTCTTCGCCGGGAGCAGTAACTGGACAACTGTGCTTCTAGAGGTAATCACGAACTGGGCTGGCGAGTGGAGCTCCACAAGGCTGGCGAGTTATCGGACCAACTCAGGAACTGGTTGAATTCAGTCTGTGAGGGATCGGTTCCGATGACTCAAGTTTCGTGCTGAGAAAAGCCAGAAAGCTGGAGGAAAATCCACGGACCAAACGGCTAGACTCTCGCGGTCAGAGACGCAGAGCTAAGGTACGCGGACCGAATAATTCCTCATTTTTCGCTCAAGGTGAGCTGTGACCCTAGTTTCACTGCGGCCTTGCAAAGCAAGGCTGTGGCGGTGACTGAGCTGTGGCCGACCGCGCGACAAAGGTGATTCTGAGCTGGTGTGAGGGCTAGCGGGACCCACTTTTGGTTCGCATCCGCTACCTTTCATAGCTGCAGCTGTGGCACAGGGCTGTCATTTGGTCTACCAATCTCGAGCGCACGGCATTGTTCACCACATCAAAGCCAGTAGTGTTGAGAATTATCCTCTTGATCAAATCCTGCGATACTAGACGTGGCATCCAGAATCTGGATGTGCATTTTGCCACAAGCAAATCACATATTGCAAAGCTAAAATCATAATGACTTGACTTGCAGAAAGGCAATGTAAATATATATATATATATATATGGTCCCGTGTTCCGTGTTCCTACCCCCCCCATGGTATGGTCCTCCAGTTCCCAGCCCGGGCAGGGATCCTGGACACTCTATACTCTGTATGTGCCCATATTCCCCCTAAACCCTCTACAGGCCCCGACATAGCCTCCGTCTACCCTTGGCAAACTCTCTATACTCTCTCTATGTACTGTACGTACCGTACAAATACCCTATCTACACCCTATGTATACTGTGTACTCGCTACATCCTCCTGAAAAGCTCTCCATATACACCTGCATATACTGCACGTACTCTATCTATGCTCTATATTTACTCTATCCATACTCTCTATATAATGCCCTATATGATGTATATTCTACAGAGTATATACTCTATATATATATATATACACTCAAAACACACCCTCTATATATATATATATACACTCAAAACACACCCTCTCTATATATATATATATATATACTCTAGATGCTCTCAACTACCCCCCCCCATGTTTTTCGTTTGGACCAATACCTACAGAGGTACATGCATGAGTATTGAGCACATCTATATGCGCCCTCAAGGCTCAAGAGGTATATAGAGTAACCCTGTGGACACCGCACTGACTGGCAATACGCCGAGAGTAAAAGTGTGAGCTGTCTTGGGAAGACGCCTTAGCTGATCTTGAAGTAGACGCTAGGGCCCCTCTTCAAGTGGTAGCGGAGCAGTGATCCTTCATTGAAGGTGAGCTCCAGGTAGAGCCCAGCAATGGCACGCCATGGCTATGATGATGATGACTTCGACATTGTCGATGCAGATGGATGGAACCCATATGACTCTTACGCAATGAGAAGAGCTCCCCAGCAAACACAGATTCATATGACGCAACAAATGACCATGAAGGTAGCTCCAGCATATGATGGAAAAACTAGTTTCTTTGCTTTTGAAGATGCAATTGATGACTGGTGTGACATCACGGAGTTAGAACCTGAGAAACGTGGACCAGCCTTGCGCAATCGACTGGAAGGAGATGCTCAACAATACAAGAGGTTATTGGACAGAGATATGCTCAGGGATCCCAATGAAGGAGTGAACTATTTCAAAAGATTTCTACGACCCCATTTCATCAAGGGTGCCCAGAACGTGTTCTTATACCGTTTCATGCAGTTCATGAAGTTCAACAGAGGAACCATGGATCTTCAGAAGTGGATGACTAGATCTCAACTGACTGGAAATAGACTTATTGAGTCTTGGATGGATTTGCTTCCAGAACCGTCGGTGACAAATTTTGAAGCAATCCAATTTGTTCAACAGAAGAGACAAGAACATGAACGAGATCAAACAGAGAAGGCTGAGTTGGCAGCAGCAACACCAGGTGCAGCTCCTCATGTAGTCATTCCCTGGTCGGATGAACTGGCATTGGTGGCAGTCAGACAGTACAAGGAACAATGTAGACAATTACAAAGACAGGCATTCCCATTGGGTGAAAATTTGCTAGCATTGATTTTTGTAAGTCTAGCAGACCTGACTCAGGATCAGAGAAACACACTCACAAGTATCATGACACATCGTGGACGAACCCTCGATCAGTACAACATGCAAGCACTACGTGATCTGTTTTTGGAAATGTTTTGCGCTACCAAAACAGCAGTTGACAATCCAATGATGCAACCCTCTGGCATGGCACAGAGAAGATCTTTCCTCGTTCTGGAAGAAGGTGAACTAGAAGGAACCGACGGCTATTGGGCCGAAGATGATGAAGACGGCGCAGAAGGATTCCTGGATGCTTTAGAAGATGTTTTCTGGGTTTATGATGCTGACTACACATGGAATCAGAGAAGGTTCCAAGGCAGACAGACCAGACGAGGCAAAGCTAAAGGAAGAAGAAAAGGAAAAGGAAAAGGCAGAGGAGGACGAAGGTTCTTCAGATCAAGGAAAAGACAAGGCCGAGGAAAAGGAAAGAGAAGAGGCCGTGCTCACATGGTGAGTGAAGAAGGTTATGAAGAAGATTGGCAAGAAGGAGAAGAATGGAATGAATCCTATGAAGGCTATTGGGCCGATGAACGAAACTGGAATGAAGGCTATTGGGCCTATGATGATCTGTACTACATGGATGAGTATGGATACTTCCAGAAGAAAGGAAAAGGAAAAGGAAAAGGAAAAGGAAAGAAAGGCAAGAAAGGCAAGGATGATGATGGCAAAGGAGGAAAGCCAGGAGATGGAAAAGGCAAGTCAAACTATGTTCAACCTCAGACCACATCAACTCCTGCCTTGCAGAACCAACAACAGCAACAAGCTCACTACTCTTCTACTGCATCAAGCTCTGGTCATGGTTTCTTTGCTTTTGCAGAGACTGAGCCAGTACGTGTTGATGCCTTGGCATCCACGTATGCAGAACAAGGAGTACATCGACGCACTCGTCGTGGAGGACAGAACCAACGTGATGCAACAGCACAGCATGACAGAGAAGGACTCAAGAAGTTCCCTGTTCTGGCTGGAGATCTTGATGCACTTCGACAAGGTGTACAACGACGTCCAGCTCGTGTGCCCAGGCAAGTTGGTCTACAAGAAGGTGAGGCTTCATGGAAGCCGTTGGCAAAAGGCACATCATTTCTTTCATATGGATGCTCTGCAGAAACAGAGGTACCAAATCAGAGTGCTTTTTCCCGAGAGTGCCTGCGAAGGGTTCTTCGTAAAAAAGCAGCCTTTATATACATCTTCACACCCTCACACCTGCTGATCTACATCTTCACACCTTCACATCTGCTGATCTACATCTTCAAACCTTCACATCTGCTGATCTACATCTTCACACCCTAGCACCTGCTGATCTACATCTTCACACCCTCACATCTGCTGATCTACATCTTCACACCTTCACATCTGCTGATCTACATCTTCACACCTTTACATCTCCTGATCTACATCTTCACACCCTCACACCTGCTGATCTACATCTTCACACCCTCACACCTGCTGATCTACATCTTCACACCTTCACATCTGCTGATCTACATCTTCACACCTTCACATCTGCTGATCTACATCTTCACACTCTCACATCTGCTGATCTACATCTTCACACCTTCACATCTGCTGATCTACATCTTCACACCTTCACATCTGCTGATTTAAATCTTCACACCCTCACACCTGCTGATCTACATCTTCACACCTTCACATCTGCTGATCTACATCTTCACACCCTCACATCTGCAGATCTACATCTTCACACCTTCACACCTGCAGATCTACATCTTCACACCTGCACATCTTCTCTTGCTCTTCTTTCTATCTCTCTCTTAAGGCCGGGGCGGTGCCGCCGGAGCGCCACGAAACGCAGCCCTTTCGCACGAAATGGACGTTGGACGTCGAAAACTGAGGTAAAATTGCGATTTTAGTTAGTCCATCGCAACCCTTTCGCACGAAATGGACGTTGGACGTCAAAAACTGGGGTAAAATTGCGATTTTAGTTAGTCCACCGCAACCCTTTCGCACGAAATGGATGTTGGACGTCAAAAACTGAAGTAAAATTGCGATTTCACGGGTCCGGTCTTTGTGTGTGAAAGTGTTTGTGTGTAAAAGCTTCTGTGTGTAAAAGCCTCTGTGCGTGAAAAGTGTTTGAGTGTAAAAGCGTCTGTGTGTGAAAGTTTCTGTGTGTAAAAGTGTCTGTGTAAAAGCGTCTGTGTGTAAAAGCGTCTGTGTGTAAAAGTGTCTGTGTGTAAAAGCGTCTGTGTGTAAAAGGGTCTGTGTGTAAAGCGTCTGTGTGTAAAAGCTTCTGTGTGCAAAAGCCTCTGTGTGTAAAAGCCTCTGTGTGTAAAAGCGTCTGTGTGTAAAAGCGTTTGTGTGTGAAAGTGTGTGTGCGTGTGTAAAAGCATCTGCGTGTAAAAGCGTCTGTGTGTAAAAGCGTCCGTGTAAAAGCGTCTGTGTGTAAAAGCGTTTGTGTGTGAAAGTGTGTGTGCGTGTGTTAAATGGTCTGCGTGTAAAAGCGTCTGGTGTAAAAGCGTCTGTGTGTAAAAGCGTCTGTCTGTAAAAGTGTCTGCGTGTAACAGTGTCTGTGTGTAAAGGCGCCTGTGTGTAAAAGCTTATGTGTGTAAAAGTGTCTAGTGTCTGTGTGTAAAGGCGTCCGTGTGTAAAAGCCTATGTGTGTAAAAGTGTCTAGTGTCTGTGCGTAAATGCGTCTGCCTGTAAAAGCTTCTGTGTGTAAAAGCGTCTGTGTGTAAACGCTTCTGTGTGTGTAAATGCGTCTGTGTGCAACAGCTTCTGTGCAAAAATGCATCTTTAATGTATTAATGTATTGTCTTGTAATATAGTGTCTCAATACTAACAACAGAAGACCCTGCTCTCTCTCTCTCTCTCGCTCTCTCTCACCCTCTCCCTCTTTCTCTCTCTCTCTCTCTCTCTCTCTCCGTCTCCCTCTCTCTCTCTCTCTATCTATGTCTCTCTGTGGTTACCTGTCACGTGTCATATGATGCCCTTTGCCAAGCAGCACAGTGCATGTGCATGGGTTGTCACATGCATCCTCTTCTTAATCAATCTTACTTTTCACAACTTATCCCTCCATAGCTCATATACAATTCACCAACCATTGACAGAGTATTTTTTTTACGACTACCATTATCAGAGCTGTTTGAAAAAAACGTTTTTTCGCTCTCGGGCCAACCGTCGTCTAGTTCATTTCATACTGTACAGACTGATCTGGCATGTGAGAAAGGACTAGCTTTTCACACAGAG